ACCATGTCCGCCGTCACCTTGGGGTCCTTGTCGAACTCGGCCACGGCGACCATGAGCATCGCGGCAAAGAACAAGTCGAACAACAGCGGGGCCATGTTGCATTCCTGTCGGAGGCCTTGGCCCACGTCGAACCATTCCGAGTACTGCCCGTCGTCCGTTCGGACGCGCGCCCTCATGCCCTCGTGGAAGTGGCGAATGACCGCCAGCATCTTCGGGGGCACGCCGAAGCGTCGGAGCACGTCTCACAGTAGGTCTCGGTCCACCGAATCGTATGCCTTGGGGAGGTCGATGAAGCACGCGAACACCCCAGTACTATTCTTCCTCGCGAGCATATGGAGCCGTTGCATGGCGAACAGCTTGTCGAGCGTCGACCGGTATGGGCGGAAACCGCTCTGCTCCTCCGGGGGGATGCCCTGTCGCTCGCGGTAGTGGCTCAGTCGTGTAGCGACCACCTTAAGCAGCACCTTGCCGGCGTGTGCAACGAGAGAGATGCCCCGGTAGTTGTCGCACTCCATCTTGTCCCACCTTCTTGAACAGCACTTCGATGGTGGCATCCTTCCACTGCCGTGGTACGTCCCCCGTCTGCCACACGTCCACGACAGTGGCGTTGAACTCGCGGAGGAGACCTTGATCTCCATCCAGAAAAAGCTTGATCAGCTCAGCCGGTAGGTCGTCCGGCCCGACGCCCTTTCTGATGGCCATTTCCCGTACCGCTTCCTCAACCTCAAGTAGAGATGGGATGTCGTCGAGTGGCACGCACGTGGGCCACCGCTTGACCTTGTCAGCCGCATGCAGGTCGATGGTCGGCGACTTGGTGTTGAGAATCTTGTGGAACCACCGTGCCCACCGGTGGCGAACAAACGTGGGGTCCTGAAGGACCTTGCCGTCCTCGTCCTTGATGTTCTGAGAGGTGAACGACCTCTCACCTTCGACGTCGATCATCTTCAGGTGCCTGTAGAAACNTGTGGAACCACCGTGCCCACCGTTGGCGAATAAACGTGGGGTCCCGAAGGACCTTGCCGTCCTCGTCCTTGATGTTCTGAGAGGTGAACGACCTCTTACCTTCGACGTCGATCATCTTCAGGTGCCTGTAGAAACCCGCCTGATCCCCCTCGCGGTTCTTCTTCTCGAGCTGCCGTACATAGCCGTCGAAGAACGTTTCCGGTGCTCTCCACCTCGCGATGCTGCGTTTCTTCCGCGCCGCCTTGAGCATCTCTTTCAGGGTCGCCTCGAAGGCGCTGTTCTTTGAGGCCCCACGCAGTTGCTACTGGGCCGCCTTAATCTCCTTAGATGCTTTCGAGATCTCGTGCTACGCTTCGCTCGTGTACCAACCTCTCTGCCCTCGTGGGCACCTCGCCAGCGCCGCGGTCTCAGCAGCGGCCGAAATCACCGTAGCCGTCAGCTCCGCGGCGGTCTCTCCCGTTGGCCGCCTGAGCGCCGTGGGCGGAGGGCGGCTGGAGGCCCTGTTTTGGAAGGCTACCCGTAGGTGTTTGTCCTTCGTTAACTGCTCGAGGTCGATACGGATCCGACTGCTTCCGCTGTTCCCGCGCACTCGTCGGTTGGGTGCGACACGGGTGGGCAGGCGGACAGTCATAAGCACGAGGTTGTCGTCAGAGTCCTTGAAGTCGACACGTTTGACGTAGACATTACGCACGAAACGCCGGTCCGTCTGCCGCATGAGGATGAAGTCGAGGCGGTATTTCTCCTTCCCCTTGTTGGAGCTCTGGAATGTGTGCTGCACCCCACCTTTCGGTGTCCGGAAGCAGGTGCCGGTAAGGGAGAGTTGGTTGTCTGATGCAGTCCGAGGAGTCGTTCCCCGTTGTTGTTCATAATGTCGCGTCCATACGCGCCCATAATCTTGGCATCGCAGCACCCGTCTCGCCTCCTACCAGTGCGTGCGTTGGCGTCCATTAGCACCACGAGATGGCACGGCTGTGAACCTCCCGGATCGCTGCGTCGAGAGCAGTCCAGAAGGAGTCTTTGGCGTTAACATCACCGCCCGCGGTGGTGCGGACGCGTACCCCACCACGAAAGTTACTCCGCAGGTGCGGCCAATTTGTAGACGCACCTTCATCAGCCTCGCGCTAATGCACTACACCGTCCTACCTTCCTCGCCCACACTCTCCTACATGACCTCCTTGATCGCTATGCCCACACCGTGTACGCCCCTCTTGACCTTGGTGCCTGCACGGGCGCCACTCCAGATGATCACGTACCCGTCGTGTGCAAAGGAACCTTGCCTCTCTCGTCGGGTCTCCTGAAGTCCTTGCACATTACAGCCGGTCCCGGAACAAATCTGCATGACCGCCATCACGTTGTGACCGATGGGGTTTGTTAGATATATTCGACATACTCGTAGTATAGCTTGGGGGTGGTATATTGCGTATACATATGCGGGATTTGCAGTGACGAACTACTGAGGAACAAGAAGTTTCTTTATGTTTTCCTTGGGAGTGTGGTAGATTGGTGGACATTCATGGAAATTCGTTTTGGGTGTTTGAGCGTTATGCGTGACTTGATGCCGTGATGGAATGACGAGCTCAAGCACGCCCCCGATGAATACAACACGTTTGTCAACACGTTTTCCAACACATTGTACAACACGTTTTTCCACGTCTGTACGACTTTACCTACCCCTACGGCCGNACAACAACGACTGGCCGACATAAGGCGGTAACAAGACGAGGAGGAGCAGAGGACAGAGAACGTCCGGACCGGAAGCGAGCACGAGGCACGCCACCAGCAACAAGCGGGGCGGCCATCGGCGAACCCGGCCGTAGATGACATCGCCCGCACTCTCGCCGACGCCCTGACCAGCCGCCTTCAGATATCACCCGCAGACACGGGTAGAGTACCAAGTAGCGCAGCGACCCTTAGAATGACTGAGGTTAAGCGCCTAGCGCCTTGGGATGGGATTTTTAGGCAAGGGGAACATGAGCAGGCAAGATTTTTGATTGTTTGATCGAACATCATTGCTATGTTTGCGCAAGAAGGAGTCAGGGAAGTGGTATTGAGTGACCACAGAATTCCAGTCGGGCTAGAAGGGATAGACATGGAGGACTTGCGTAGGATGCACTCGCCTGATAGCTTAGAGAAGGCAATTACGGCGTGGAACCTGCCGATCACGTCTGTGACATACATGCCTATCCTCACCCAGATCATCGCTGATGGTAGTCCAAGTGGAGGTTGGAAAATATTCCTCAACTTTTACGAGCCGCGTGCCAGAGCCGAGAAGGAAAGGTTTTCATCCCATTACCACGGTCTTGAGATGAAAGTAGGGAGACCCCCCAAGAATACTTCGGGAGATTTGCTGTTTTGCGCAGTAGGCTAGCCTCGCACGGTGTTATTTTCTCCGACGAAGATGCCAATGCCCACTTGGTTTACCACGTTTCCGACGAGTACATGATGGAGAAGAAGATTCTGACTATGTCACCGATTCCCCCTCGCGCGAAAAAATCGAGAAGGGTGTACGAGATGCCCATGCGGAATTGCTTTGCCGTCGGGAGGAGGAACCGAAGAATGGCGCGGGGCACGCGTTCGTCGCTTCCGGTGGCATCCGGGGCGATGGACGTGTCCAAAATGGGTCGAGTGGAAACGGCGGGGGACAGGACGGAGACGGAGGCGCCCGGAGTCGGAGCAGGAGCAGAGGGAGAGGAAACAAGGAAGCAGGAGAGAGAGGAGCCGACAGCGACCACTGCTACCTACATCCGCACTTGTCCCACACCAACGCCCAGTGCCACATCCAACGCGACCGTCAGAGAGTTGGGCGAGAAGGAAACCAGGGTACATGCCCGTACGCGCGGCGACCGAGTGCGCTTCATGGATGAGCAACAGCAACCGCCGTCGCCGTCAGGTGGCGGCACCGGCCTCCAACACCGCCTTGGGCTGCTGTCGATGATGGGCAAGGATGCGCTCGTCTCGTCGCTCGCCACCCGGGAAGCCGTCGATCAAGGACGTCGAGACCTGCCACCGTCCGCCCACATCGCCCNTTCCTCACTGCCTCGCCAGCGACCTCCGAGTGCCGAAAACGTTCAAGGAGGCCATGCGGTCTCAACATTCAGAGTTGTGGGATGATGCAGTCGGTCGTGAGTTTTTCGGTCTGCTGGATGCAGGTACTTTTAGTCCGGTGTAGCAACCAGTAGAAAATTTCATCAACGCTAAGTGGGTATGCAACTGTAAGGCAGACGAGTACGGATGGCCGACGAAATTCAAGGCACGACTTGTAGCGCGAGGGGACATGCAGAGGGCTTCGATTGATTTTGGAGAATTGTTTGCACCCACCGTATCCGTGTCTAGTGTGCGTTTGTTGGCAGCATTGGCATGTGAGCAGAACCTTGACTTGTGTCATTTCGATATTCAGCAGGCATTTGTTTGTGCAGTCTGAGCTTGAAGAGGAAGTTATCATGCATGCGTCTCCCGCAAGGTTGTGGTAGGTTTTCTGGACTGATCGTGAAGCTATGCAAGAGTCTGTACGGTTTGAAGCAGGCATCACGACAATGGCATGCGCACCTGACGAGGTGTTTGTTACTTTTAGGATTTGTGCAATGTTTGGCGGATGCATGTGTTTTTCGATTGATGGAGGATGGATGTGTGATCATGATCATTGTGGTCCACNCTTGAAGAGGATGTTTTCATGCGTCTCCCGCAAGGTTGTGGTAGGTTATCTGGACTGATCGTGAAACTATGCAAGAGTCTGTACGGTTTGAAGCAGGCATCACGACAATGGCATGCGCACCTGACGAGGTGTTTGTTACTTTCAGGATTTGTGCAATGTTTGGCGGATGCATGTGTTTTTCGATTGATGGAGGATGGATGTGTGATCATGATCATTGTGGTCCACGTGGATGACATTTTTGCCGTAGGGCAGAAGGAGACATGTGACAAGTTTGGCAGTGACCTCAACGAGATGGCCCCCCTGAAAAGCCTTGGGGAGTTGAGGTGGTACTCCGCGTGCTTTTACCAGAGAGATCTAGAGAGAGGCCTTTTGAGGATCTCGCAGCAAAGGTTTGCAGAAGAGTTGGCTGCAGAGTACGGCGTTGAGTGGGGGAAGAGTGTGCCCTTGCCTGTGAGCGTGAAGCTCACCGACTTTGACGAAAACGAAGCGTGTGCTGATGTCCCGTTTCGCGAGTTGGTAGGATCTCTGATGTGGTTGGCCACTCAAACCAGGCCGGACATCGCGAATGCAGTACGAGCAGTAGCGCGGTATTGCGCGTCTCCCAAGATGGTGCACTGGAAGGCAGCACTTGGTATTTAAGGGTTCGTGCGTAGGACGAGTTGGATGGGGATTACTTTTGAGAGGGGAGTGGTCACTGGCATGAGCATGCAGGTGTTTGTGGATGCCGACTATGCAAGCAAGGCAGCAGACCGTAGGTCGGTCTCAGGAGGACTGGTGATGTGTGGGGGTGGGTGTGTGACTTGGTTTTCGAGGATGCAGAAGTGCGTGACGCTCTCCACAACGGAAGCAGAGTATGTGG